CCCGCTGCCGCCGTCGAGATCTTGAGCGGCGGTTCTGGAACCAGTAGAAGACATTTGCGTCTCCTACGGCTCCGAATTGTTCGAGCATCTTTCTTATTCTGACGGTCTCGTCTTTTGGTGGGTTAACCATACCGCTGTTGAAGATCGATTCGAGTATGAGGATTTGTTCCGGTTTAGGTGACCAACGTGACCGGACCGGTTCGGTTGCGGCCGAGGAAAAGGAGGCGGAGCCATGGTTCTTGGTGTTGCGGTGACGGTGTCTCCTACGGCTCCGAATTGTTCGAGCATCTTTCTTATTCTGACGGTCTCGTCTTTTGGTGGGTTAACCATACCGCTGTTGAAGATCGATTCGAGTATGAGGATTTGTTCCGGTTTAGGTGACCAACGTGACCGGACCGGTTCGGTTGCGGCCGAGGAAAAGGAGGCGGAGCCATGGTTCTTGGTGTTGCGGTGACGGTCTTGTGCCTGTTGTGCCATTTCGATTCTTCTTTTAGTGGTGATTCTTTATATACACATAGATATATATATATATATATGGAAAATAAGGACTAGATGTGAAATCCTTACATCTGAGAAGTGGTAGAGTTTGGTGCGTGAAATTTATAGGAGGAAGATTTCTTAATGGATTAAATTTTCTTGTTTATTAAGTCACAGGGGCTTATATCTTTTAGTGGGCTCATTTAAATATTACGTACCGTACAACAAAAAAACATATAAAATATATGAATATTTATACATATGCTTCACAAAAATGTAAATACATACTCGGAGACATTGTATGAGAACGGAGTTAATTACTTGGCCGCTTATGTTGAAGATGTATGTAGCAGCACTACTTTTCCACTAATAATTCTTTATCTCCATAAATTCCAATTTTAAGGTTTTCTAAGATGATATATATATATACACACACACTACATGTTATACAATTAACGTAAAGTTTTTGTATAAATATAGTAGAAATAATCAGCTCTAAAAGATTTAATTTGTGACTTTCATGCATGTTGATATATGATAAATGGTTTAAATAATTTTGGCACAATTTATTGTGATAATATATGGTCATTGTTTTTATCTCCTATTGCAAACAGAAATTAAAGTTACTCTATTAAAAAGAAATTAGGTATTTTAATATATATATATATGTAGTGACATACTGTATCGGCCTCTTTCGGTTTAGCATCGTCTAAGGCAGGGGTAACATGGTAATATCAAGTGAGAGATAGTCTACGTTTGAACCAAAACCTTAACGCTGAGGTTTTTGTCTTCGCTCTGGTCCATGTGAATGTGATGCACGGAAAGCTGTACCCCAAAAGATTATCTTTTCAATTAAAAAAATACAAACGTTGTATTAAATATTGGAAAATAAAAATTCAATATATATATATATATATATATATTGCGGGCTAAACCAAATACAAAAAGGTCGAAGACAACAATAATTAAAAATATATATATATGTTTAAACCGTTTTTCTATAGTCATGGATTTTCCAATTTTCCTTTTGATTAACCTTCCATATCGGAAATATACAGTTGAATTATTTGTGTTGGATAATTTTGTATGACGTAAATAAATATTTATTTTTTAAAACGATGTTATTTATTTAATGTTTATACCAACTTTTTGTTTTGATCTTAGAAAAATGGAATTTTGCCTCTTATGTATGTTGTCGGTCCAATTGTTTTGAAACTGTATGTTTATACGAAGGAATTATTTTAAAAAACAAATTAATCGAAAGGAAAAGTCCAAAGGAAATGTCAAGAAACCGTCCGTGCAATAAATTAATTACTTCTGACGTTAAGCGAACATCCTCACTCAATTTTCTATACGTACAAAGTGTGTGTGTGTGTGTATATTTATAACGGTTATTGTTATATTTATTTGAGAATAAGATTTGAAGTATTTTATAATTTTGTAAAATAACCTTTTTTTCTTGCGGTTAGATAAATTGTTCCTGTAAAATTTATTTCCTATGTACTAACCAGTATTGCCAATTTTATTTCTTTCATAAGAATATGTAATAACCTGCAGATATGGCAGCTTTGCTCAGAACTATGGATCGAATTCCAAGTACAAGTGAATTTTATATTTACGATGCATCCAATATGATTGAAGATAATAATCCGGCTGCCACCCGATTCAGGAATAATTAACTTAATTATTAAGAAAATTTAATCAATCAGATTAATTTTAAAATTTATATACAATGTTAAATTCATTTAGCTAAACTAATTAAAGCTAAAAATTTAATTTATAAGTTTAGTTTTGTAAAGTTAAGAAAATTAGATTCGATGAACTTTAAAATTAATTATGATATTTTGAAGTTCAATTCCATTGCCTCTACGCAATTACTTATCACTCAAATTACTTCACATTTTGCATAATCCTTTTTTCTTTGAAAATTGTTTTTTTTTTCATTTGAAAAATATAATATAAATTTATGAATATCTCGCATTAAAATTCGAACCTGAGAAAACATTATAGGATCTAATTTTCCTTCTAAAATTAAACGAGTTGTGGGATATTTATTAAATATTCTTTTGTAGTAGTAGTAGTTTTATTCATTATGTTGGCGCAGTCAAACTCCTTGTCTATACATGAATATATATATACGCATTATAATTGTATATTTACATTTACTGTTTACGGATTTAGATAAACTGCCATGACAAATAAGTTGGAAGGAAATAACTTTGTATGGAATAGAAAGTGTGTTTCGTCTCTTGGTGAGGGTGCATGTACGTGTGTACAGACCAAAACATATATATTTAATATATATATATATATATATGTATGTATATATACGGTCAAAAAAATAGTGTAGGGAGATTTAACAAAAAAAAAAGTGTAGGAAGCCAGTAGCCGACAATCTGCCTCTTTCAGTTTCCCCTGTCTGAATATGTTGGTGTGGGTGCCAATACATGCACCAAATTTGGATATATGTTGTTATATCATTTGGATACAGTTAGAAATTTCTTTATATATATATATATATTTATTGATAATTCTAAAGTTTACCCATTTTTTATTTAACTATGTCTCGTAAGGACCGAAAAAGCTTTCTTCACATTTAGATTTAAATTTAAAAATATAATAAGAATATGTTTTCTTACCCTTATATCACCCATATCTAGATAATGTATATATTGACGCTATAAAATTTATAGAATTTAGTTTTTCTCCCAATCTTGCTTCACATCAAACAACAAGACGATATCATATTTGCGATAGTTTAGGAAGTCATGAGACAATATTTAACTTAGAAATATATGTGTATATATATGTCTGTATTTGTGTCGGAAATTACCTATAGAAAGTGATTTTTTTCCCCATGGGTGAAACATCGCGGCTATACACACGCTTAAAAATCAAAGCCAAAAAAAGGGGGGCCAACACTTGTGCCCTAAAAGCAGAACCAGATGTTGGTCGGTGTCCCCATTGGAACAAAAACAAAAACAAAAACTAAAATATTTATTAAAAATATCTATATTAAAAGCTTAGCTTTAAATATATTTTTATATATATATATATAAATAAATGCTAACCAGCATTTATGTACTATCTCACAAAAACTGAACCGTCAGTTCAGAAAATATATCATTTTTAATCGATATTTGTTATATTGTTTTAGATATTACAAGTCTTTATGTTTGAAGGACTTGTAAATACAGAAAATATTAAATACCTTGATAATTCGTTTTGTAGATTATTTTTCCTCTCGTGTTTTTCCATATAAAATCAATTTACGAAATTACCCTGGCATGGGATTTGAGAAATTAAACTTTTCTCCATGCGAAGGATTATTAAACCTAATTAAACAACCAATATATACATTGAATTAGATTTAAGCAAATTAAACTAAATTATATGTCTAATTAGAGGAAGCACTTTTTCTCTGTGCTTGTTGAAAGCCTCAATTGCATAGGGATGAAGAGCATGTGTCGGAAAACGAATTATCAGCCGAATTGTAATATACTAAAAGGAAATAGTCAAATGTTCATAAAAAAAACTTCTCTGTTTCAAGGAAAAATAAGTTTTAGAAATTATTCAACTTGAGAAAATCGGTTAAAAATTCAATGTATTTTTGAAGATTAAATTCCAAATTTGTTCTTACTAATAGGGAAAAAAATAGGAGAAAGTGTGTTCAGTCGAAAATTTTAAAATTATATATATTAAAACAGAAGATATATAAAACTAAAACGAAATATGTGATTTTAATATAATAATCTGAAATTTTGTTAAAATTTTTAGACAATAAATTCAAATGATATTTCAATTTCCTCCAAAAAATGCTGGTTTTGGTTTTTCTTACAGATTTAGTCGTGCAGAAGAAAAAAAAAAATGTAGAGTTTGGAGAATCTTTGTATGACTTTCTGATTGTGATTGGAATTTGATGCACTTGGGCGTCACTTGTCTTTAATAACTCCCATCTGTTTTGTCCTTTCCTTAGGTTTTCCTCAGATCTCCTGACAGCTCAATTATATACGTATCAATCTATATATACAAATGTATATGCACGCTGCATATCTATGTGTATATGTGTGTGTGAGACCCAAAACAAAGTTACAAATTAATGGCTTGCAGATACGGCCAATGGTACACGTAAGTCGATCATATAATTATATATATTCAGTTTATGTAATCATCCAAAGCATCAAATTGAAAGGTTTTAATTAATATGTATCGTTAAAATAAATCAAAGTTGAGTAATTATTTCATTATAAACATTGTTACCATCATTTCAGGTGCTTTAATTTTTGTGAATATTCATATATTATTATATGCCCTGGCAGTAGATAGTGGAGCTAGGACATATATATATACATATATATATATATATATATGTTTTTGCGTATATAGAAAAAAGGTTATTGAGGTAAAGAAAATAATCAATCTTTCAAAATTTCATAATTAAATTGAACTGAAAGATACAATGATATATATCATTGTTCTTAAAAATTCGATCAAGTTGAAAAAACCCATAATTTTACGTATTTTAAACCATTGAAGCTAGATTTAAAATATCATCAATTAATTCGGAAAAATGTTTGAAACGCCAATGCAAGTCCTTTAGGTTAGAATCTAGGGTTTGTCCATTACGAGGGTTTAAGAGGACAAAAAACCCTAGCTAGCAAATAGCAAACCTCTGTGGTCCTGAGATGAGAGACTTCGAAAACCCTAGACATTTCTGATGAAAATCTTCGCTTTGTGGTCCTGCCCCAAAATCATGTACGGAATATATATACATAAATACGCATGCAAATATACATTAAGTGCGTGTTTTATTAATTTGAAATTTCATGGCTGAAAAATAACATGAATTATTAATTTGAGAAAAAAAACATTTATGGTTGGTGCAAATTAAATGTATCAAAGAAACGGCGCAAGTTTTTTTTGTACCATTTTTTATTATCGTGCCTTTTCCACATTGTTAATATTAATTATTAATTTTTTAATTTTTTAATTTTTAAAATGTGTTTGAAGTGCATCTGATGTGTCCCGCACTTGCATGATTAACCATCACAAACACTGCCAAAAGGCAAAAGTTCGAAGCTTTTTCTTTTTAATTTTTTTTTTGATGTATATGCGAAATGACATTAAACATCATCATATAATAAAGCTTAAGATAGATTCATGCATCATATTATATATTATTATATACATATAGATTAATTCCAAAACTATAAGTGCTAAATTTAATGATCATCTGCCGGCACTTTGCGTGGCCATTGCCGAGACAAGATGCTATGTTTCTTGTGAAAAGGAAATTCATATAAAGGAAAACATAATCTTTTCGAATGCCACACGAGCACAAAATACTTTACTTTTTTAATCATTAATTATTACGGCTCGATTCTAATTAGTGAAACTCTATTTATATATGCCATGTTCTTCTCCTTGCGCACGCGTGTCTCCCTCTGTGATGATTAGTGAAACATTTTTTTTAATATGGGGTTCATTCAAATTTTATTGATTTAATTTTAAAAATTATATCTAATTAACTTTTACATCAGTTCATTTTATTTGATTTATCTTTTTGTGTATTATCATATTTATTTATTTTATATATAATAATACTTTTAGTGTACGATATTAAAGTTCAATCTTAGCCATGAGAAGGTAAATTATACCTTTTGATACTCCAAACACTTATAGTTTTGAAAATATTTTAGGTTAAATAGAATAAATTTAATCTTCCATTTATATATAATAACCTTTTAATTTTAATGTGCATATCATGTCACGTCTCGCCGACCACTTTGTTTTGAAAATATATATATTTTAAGTTAAAGTAGAATGAATTTTATATCAAATTTAAAATGCATATTATTTTCCTAACTCCATCAAGGGTGTTCACTAATATATTGGACTGTAGCACCTGCGAACTTTCCGATATTACAAAAAATAATTTTTCTATACTCTCTTAGAAATCGACCCAATATTTCTTAAGGCATTATGCCTTCAATAACGGAAATATCCAAACCGTCGGTCCAAAAAATTGCATAAAAATAATTATGCCTAAGGCTGGAAGCTAGCCATGATTGTTTGGTTCTCTACAATATGCTTTTGCCATTGTTGCTCCTCAACTTTAAACTGTTTGATTCCCCAATGTAAAAGTCGCCATGCTATTAATTTCCTCTTCCCTAATGGAATCGCATATATGCGTTGGTACCTTTAATTACTAAAATTAAAATGCCGGTTTTGGGATCCATGTGAGATGCCATCCATTTTCTTGTTAATTAACTACATTTTTTTTTTAAATTTATCTTGTTTAAAAAGAACAAAGTGATTAACTTGATTCTATGGATCGTTGTGACGAAGCCTTAAATTAAAATAAAAATCATAACATAGACTAAAAATTTCAAATTTAATAAATATTTTTTTTAAATCACGGCTGTTATACTAATTTATAATTTAAAAAGGATTGTTATAACAAAATCCTATTTTTCCTTAATGGGGCAAGTTGGAGAAACCCAGTGGACAAACTAATGGGCCTTGTGAGAGCAATATGAAGGCCCATTTAAACTTGCTTGCAATATCAGCCCATTATAAAGCCCATATTCTCCGAGCATTTACCATTGTTCATGGGCTTTCTAAACAGAACATATCAGATCCAAAACACAGACAATTAGACATATTTATATATAAACATGGCTCTGAAGGTATACAAGTGTGATACGGACCATGACGGCCTTGTTTTTTTTTTCTTCCATTTTTTTATGTTATGTTACGTCTTTAATTCAATTTCACACCATATATTTTTGTCCAGATATATATAATTGTTATAGAAAGGAAAGTGTGGAAAAAAATAGGAAAATTATATATGTGTTTATATATATATATATATATGAAAACTGATCCGATCAATTTTGGGACATTTAAGATATGAGCGTGATTGATAACCCATAACTTTTTTTTTTTTTTGCTTAATTCGAAGACCAAAAAATAATTCTTCCGTTTCAAAATATTTGTAATTTTAAATTATTTTCTATGTTTTAAAATATTTGTCGTTCTATATTTTTAAGACATTTTTTTACAATAGTTTTTAATTTTATCCTTACCAAATTTCAATATATCATTAATGGTAACATTGATTTTATTCTTTATTTGTATATGACTTTTTTTCTCTTTTTAAAAAAAATATAAAATAACCTAAAACAATAAATATTTTAAAACAGATAGAGTATATAATAAAAAAAGGATTAATAAATAGTTCTGCATTTACCAAAAAAAATTGTGCAGATAATTTTTAAAGTGCGTGAGGTTGTAGTTGAATCATGGACTCAAGTGTATGCTATCATATAAAATTCCAAACGTCACTTTCCTCCCTCCGGTTGCAGTTTCCTTTTGATTTCATAAATAGTTATAATTTAGATAATATACTGCTTTAATTTTTTTTTTATTTGTTTAAAAAAATTTGAATTCAAAACCTTACCAAAAATTTATCATTCCTGCTTTTATTTATTTATTTATTTTTTTCATATAACCCAAAGTGCACCGAATTTATTGGAACAAATTAAGATGCTCTGCTTTAAATTTAATTATTCGTCTGTAATATAACTTAAATGTGTATTCACATCCAAAGTATAAGGAGTTGCAGTTTAATTTTATTATTATTTTTAAATGAAGTAAAGAAGTCTTTAAATTTGTTATAGAAGTCAGAATGAGCACCGGTTAAGTGGTAATTCTAGGGAAAAAACATTCTAGAAGATTCCCTTTAGAATGGAATCTAGGACAGTGACAAATATTAAATAGGGTCCATGAACAGTGAACCCCCTCACTCCACTAATTTTTGTTCTGACGTGAATGAGTTTTGCCGGAAACGACATTGTTCATAAAACAACAAATATCAAATCACAACTCATATCTCTCTATGTACACATGTATGCAAGGACAATGATTCTCACAACTTGACTATTATTTACCAATAATAATAAAAAAAAAACACTGAAATTCACAATTTTAACAAAAAAAAAAAACACTTGAAATTTTTATTTTATCAAATAAATATTAAACTTTTTAATTTTGATAAAACAAACACATCTCTTCTATGATTGGCATAAGAAGATATAGACAAGACATATTATTTTACTTGTTTTCTTATAATCGCATAAAGTTTATGTATTTTTATCCCTAAAAAAGTTTGGTATTTTCTTGACAATCGCAGAAAAGTTCATGTATTTTTTGAATCACTTAAAAAGTTCAATATTTTTTTAGATTCGTTTAAAGTTTAATGTTTATTTCACCAAAAATAAAATTTAATTTTTTTTTATTTTCCCAAAAAAGAATGAATCTTTTTTTTTGTAACCGGTTATGCTGCACCAAGATCTAAACTAATATCGGGAGTGAAAGTCAACCATATTCGGATTATATGTTCTCTTAATTTAAATTTTAAACTCGAAACGAGACAGAAGTTTTGCACTTCATATCACCAAGTGAACTACCCAATTTGGATAAAGAGACATCTGAAAGGCTTTAATTCATTTACATGATTTTTTCTTCCTATTGATAAAATATTGACCATGTTCTATGCTTTTATTTGATCCATACATGATAAATAAACTCTATTATAATATATATATATATAATATCCAGAAAAAATATCATAGATTCGTATATATTTCTAATAAATTTATAATACGATTCCAAAAACCCTAACCAATCTCAAGAAGAGAAAACACAGATAGATAGCAACCAAGCCACCTCCGACGAGCTTGTCCAATCTCATGTTCCTCTTCGGCATTATCACAAGTGCCCAAAGCAAGCCAACCATTAAGAACCCTAATGTCTCAAGCAAAGAAGAAGAGTCGTCGTCTGTAGTGATGGCGTAAGCCCTAGGGTATTCGGCCAATGAAGACATGACAAGTGGCACCCCGAGTCCGATGGCGCTGTTGAACAACGGCCCTGCGTAGCAGCCGGAGAGTGCTGTCTGAACGCCGTCCGTACCACCGTGCAGGGCCACTGTTACGTTGGCGATTAGGTCACCTAAAGAGTTGCCCCATGCAAGGACAGTTAGACCTAATACCGAAGGTCTTGTCCCAAATATGTACCCTAATGAGACCAACAATGAGACCAACTCTTGGGCTATGATGTAGGTCCATGCCACACTCATAATAAACCCTCCTAGAAGCCAAACCAGTGTGAATTTCTTCGGCGGGTGAGATTTTTTCGTCGTTAGTAGCGCCATAACCCCGAGAATCGATCCGATCGACCCTGGTATCACGTACAGCTTAACGTTTCTTTTCGATCCGCTGTTACGAAAACTGTAAAGTTCTGTCAGTAAAACCGGCGACAGGGCGGTGGAAACCACCGCACAGGTTCTTGACCATCTTTCTTCGTGGATCACCGGAATTGTAAGTCTTCTCGGGAGATTTAGAGGTAGCCCTAGAACAGTTAGTAGCACCGAGATGCAAGATCTAGACCTTCTCGCCGGATGATGATCAAGATTCAGAATCTTGAATTCTTGTTCTTGATCGATCCTGGGTTCTTGGTCGGTTTCCTTGGTCGAAACCGGCTTCTCGTCGTCCACATATCCGAGAAACGGGACACCCATCTCGGCCAATTCCTCTTTGCTCCGCTGAATCGGCTGGGGCTTGGGTTTCTTGCGGTTGAAGAAACGCGAGGCTGACAAGAACCCTACGTATACGAAGTAAATCGCGAGGTAACAGAGAGCAAACCATATGGTTATTTTACCGACAATAATGATCAGACAGAGACAACCCAGAGAGATCAGAAGAAACACCACGTCTCGGATGAAGCTGTTCTTGTCTATCGAAACACCTCGAGATCCGGTCAACATGCATATCGTCCCGACAACGAAGCTGGACACGAAAAACGAACCGCCCAAGACAGAGTTCAGCCCGAAATCGCCATTGTTAGACCTCGAGAAGGAGACAACACTGGAGAAAAGATCCGGAGCTCCATTGCCGAGAGAGAGAAGCGTGGCGCCGGCGATTGTAGGAGACAGCTTCAATAATTTAGACAAACTTTCCAGAGAAAGAACAAAGTAACTCCCTGCCGTGTCGCCGAGCAAATAAAACAGAGCAAGCAGCCATGCTGTAAGAGCGAGATGACCCAACAGAGGGGAGTTCCCGAAAACGCAGTAGAAGATTTCAAGATAGTCTATGTAACCCTGAGGCGCACATTCAGGTTGGGATCTGACATAAGAACACTTCGACCGGTGGTCGGCGAGACCGGTGAGTCCGCCGCCGCAGCCGTCGCCGGAGAGAGAATTAAGGGGTTCGACAAGGAAAACGGGATGATTGATGCTGAGAAGAGAGAGTGGAGCGAGGTGGAGATAAACGAGGAAGACGAAGAAAAAGCTGAGGAGAAGAGAGATGGAGCGAGAGTTCAGATGCGAAGAGAAGAGACTTGCCATTCAAGGAAACTGAATCCGAGGAGAGTGATGATGGGGGGATTAGGCTTTTTGGATATAATAATGAGGAAAATCATATTCCTACGTATTTTTTTTCAATTATTATTATTAATTTACGTGTTATTTTTGGACAATATATGATTCAGTTCCTGCGCGTGTGTGTGTAAGAAAGTTCTGTCATGTGGTTCGAGAAACCAAGTGGGGAAGGTATATTCTGTTCACTGTTAGAGCAAGGAAGAAAAATCAAAGTTGGATGAAGGGTTTATCCATCCCGACAAAAAGGAAAAAAGAAGACAAAAAGGGTTTTATCCGTTGTTGATTTCTACGAGAGAATACGCGTATATATAAAGAGGATACACGACAATATTATTACACACACATATATATATATATTATGTATGCTCCTATGTTATGATACACTTTGAAAACAAAATCAAATTTTTTATTCCGCAAGACTTTTTTTTTAAACAAAAAGATAAAAGAAAAATCCATTGTACTGAAATAATAATATTATAAAGAATTCTAATGAGAATAATATAAATAAAAACTCGAATATAAATTCAAATCCATGTATAACACATTTTTATTACACCAAATTCAACCTAAATGAACTAAATATATAAATTTTTTAAACATATTTTGGGATAAATTTGGATGGGCCATGTTTAGAAGTTTGGGCCTCTTGAGATTTTAATCCTACGGCCCATTAGACCCATCAGGATTCATACCCCAAAACGTGGTCGTTTCCTTTGCTCTTATTTGCCCGGCCTGGTTTGTACCTTGGTACAGAACCGAACCGAACCGAATGTGTCGAATTTTAAAAAGAATAAGAATACTCCTTGCAACTACATAATCTCTATCTAATAATATGTTTATACATACATTTTCCGTTTATATATATAAATTTTTGAACTTTCGCCTCACCTAATTAGTGTTTTTGTTGGGCTTGCATTTTTTTAATATTTAATCAAGGATTTGGTTTTTATTTCCATAAAATTTGGTAGTATTTTTTTTTTCCGGTTTTGTTAGCCGGTAATCAGTAATATATTTCTTGTTTTGTAATCAGTAATATGGTTTAGTACCGGATCGGTTTAACCCGGTTCAAACTTTCGCGTTGAACCCGGTTCGGTTTTGAACCCCTGAGCCCGACGATACACTCAGTCTCTCGCTATGCCCCGCGCCTGCCGAACGGATAAACTTTCTCTCTATCTCTCTCTCCCATTCAGTGAGGATGCTGACGAGCCCGAGCAACGTGCTCCATAGCAGTCCATGCTTCTCGCCGTTTCGGCGGAGCAAGTTTGTTTTCTCTCGGGATTTCCGACGATTCTTCGTCGGCAGCGGCGGCGGCGGAGGGAGATTGTCCGCCGCGAAGCTGTGTTCGCTCTCTCTTCTCTCCGCGAGTGGTGGGAAGAAGTTTGGTATCAGGGCACTAGCGGAGACTGATTCTTCTGAGGTTGTTGACGATGTCGGTGATGGGTCTCCTAGTTTCTTCCCTAATCATGTTTCTGTCAAAATCCCTTTCGGGGACAGAGAGGTAATGTTCGAAAGCCGTTTCTTTTACCCTTTTTATTTTTGGTTTTGTTTATCCATTGAAGTTTCCATTTATCTCTCTGGAGATTGACGGGCAAGTGTAGAAATGTCAGTTCGAAATGCCCTTTCGTTCTTGAGCCCGTCTTCGATTCGAAATTGAGACCCTTCAACTCTGTGGTATAGAACGGCATCTTTCATCAAAGTCGCCTTGTTAGAGCTGTGCCGCTGAATAGTTGGAAGAATTGAGTTCTTTCCAGTTGACAGTGTCTTCTCTTACAGTTTTTGTCAAATTATTCTTGTTTGGTGAAGTCTTAGACGTTTTCTCTTTTTTCTTTTCTTTTCATGCTTAGATTTTAGTTGAGACTGGTCATATGGGCAGACAAGCAAGCGCTGCTGTTACAGTCACTGATGGAGAAACGGTAATTGCTGGTTCTTCTAGATGTTAGCCTGGCTTTTAGTTGGTTCATCGAATTGTTATAATCAAATTAGCTTCTAATTTTATTTTTGCAAGTTCTTTGATTTCTATCATTGTCATCTATTATATCATCACATGGGTTTTGAGCAACCAGGCCTTTTTGTTTTTAGGAATATGGATTTTGGTGTTCTTTTGTGAGCTGAAGGTTTCTGCTAACATAGTTTGATTGTTTCTGCTTGTTGCTGTCTAGATTGTTTACACATCTGTTTGTCTGGCTGATGTCCCTAGTGAGCCGTCCGATTTTCTTCCTCTTTATGTTCACTATCAGGAGCGATTCTCAGCTGTAGGTCGAACAAGGTATGCATTTTCTTCCTTCACAATCTTTTCATGTTATGACACATGCTATTGAATCCTGATTTCAGTGATGCCCTAAATCCAACTTCTTTTGGCTCAGTGGGGGATTTTTCAAACGAGAAGGGAAAACCAAAGACCACGAGGTATTTACTATTTCTTTGGGATGCCTTGTTTCTTCCATTTATTTACCCTTCTTAATATGTATCACGGTATCTTTGCCTTTTGGTTATCACACAGGTTCTGATCTGTAGGTTGATTGATAGGCCTTTACGCCCCACCATGCCCAAAGGCTTCTACCATGAAATTCAGTTATTATCCTGGGTATGCTCCTTACACATGCATATGTTTTTCATTGGTTGGCTCTTTCTTTGTTATCTATTGAGTTATTCGGGGACTATATGGTCATTTATTGCCAGTATCTACTTTCACAAAGGGTAGGATGTTCTTTGCTCTTGATGAATCAGAGTGATAGGGCTCTCCTTCTATCATTAGCTCTTAATTGGTCTGTCGGGAAGTTGAGACAAAAAAGATACCTGACTAGTATTTTTTTTCTTCTACCTATTCATGTGGTGTGGTGCGGTGATGTTTTATGTTTTATTCATAATTTCATATGCCGCTTTTTCTTCACAGTGACTGGCAATCTCCTAATTACATGAACATGTATGGAAATGATGCATTCTTTTCCTTCGTTTGGTGCTCATCTCGCATTGAATCTTTACTTGCTCGCAATTACAGGTCTTGAGCTATGACGGATTACACTCCCCTGATGCTTTAGCTGTTACTTCTGCTGGAATAGCTGTGTATGTAGGGTCATCTCGTTTCTGTTTTGGAGATTTAGCTCTGGCTCCAGGAAATTAATGTTTCATGTAATGAATGCATATCGCAGAGCTTTTTCAGAAGTTCCAAATTCAAAAGCTATTGCTGGAGTCCGGGTTGGTTTTATTGGGGGCAACTTTATTGTCAACCCAACCACAAAGGAGATGGAAGATTCACAGCTTGATTTGTTTCTTGCTGGCACTGATACGGCAATATTAATGATAGAGGTTAACTTTCTATACTTGCAATTGCAATTTTTGCAAATTTGAAAAGGAACGAAAGATTTGCAGATGTGCCTCTGGTTCTGTTTCATATGATGCCCTGGCTCATCATGGATGTCCTGAATCACAGGGCTACAGTAATTTTCTTCCTGAGGAAATGTTGCTCCAAGCTGTGGAAGTTGGACAGGTGCTTTTTGTTATCTACTGTCCTCTGAAAGATATATAAATTTTGCAAAAGTTTCAGTGGAACAATGCTCCATCTTTGGGCTCTTTTATTATGCTTTTGCATTCTTTTCAGAATGCTGTACGGGCTACATGCAGTGCTATTGAGGCCTTAGCAAAGAAATATGGCAAACCCAAAATGTTTGATGCAATCAGATTGCCGCCTTCCGAGTTATACAAGCATGTTGAAGTATGTTATGCTTATCGATGACCTTCATTTCTGTTTTCTCTTCCCAAAGTTGTTTTCATTCAATATATTTTAGTATTATTTATGGGCTTTTCTTCTCTTGGATTGATTCTTGCTAAAAACTTTTTTTTTTCTGGTGATGGTTTTAACTAGTCGAATAATTATTTAGGATATTGTTTGTCATCGGCTCCTCTCTCCTTCCCTCTATGGGCAGGACCATCTGCAATGACGTATGTTGCATAGAAATTTCAAATACAGGACCTGTTCTGTGGCTTGTATATGTATTCAATTTGTTTGGATTTTAGATTTAGTGGTCACTATGTAACATTGGTCTGAAAATTGTAACAGCATGGCATCTGTTTGTGGTGGTTGCTTGGCTTTGCGGGATGCTGGAGTTCCAGTCAAATGTTCAGTTGCTGGCATAGCAATGGGGATGGTTTTGGATACTGAAGAATTTGGCGGTGATGGAACCCCTCTTATCCTTTCTGACATTACCGGAGCTGAAGATGCATCTGGAGATATGGATTTTAAGGTTGTACCACTCGAAACTTTTCGTATCTTCTGAAGATAAAAATATTTTACATTTGTTACAGGAATGCAGTATCATAATTTATTTTTTTGGTCTTCTTATGTATTGCAAGACAAACATTGGTCAGATCTCTGTCCAGAAAAAAATTGGCAGAACCATGGGGCTACTAATGGGATCATCAACACCATTACATGAACAGAATTCCGATGATTTTAACTTATTAATCAATAAATTGCCTCCTGACACAGGAAATTGCCGGTGAGGAATTGAGCAAAGCACTACAGATTAAGAGCAAAATACCAAGAAGAAAGGCAATCTCGTCGCTGGAAGAAAGAGTATTGACAATACTTACAGAAAAGGGATATGTCATTAATGATGTAACATTTGGAACCACAGAAGCGCCACAGGATCTGTTGGAGGATGAGGACGAAGATGAGGAAGTTGTTCCGGAAGGTGAGGTGGATCAAGGTGATGTTCACATAAGGCCAATCCCACGGAAGCCCACCCCTTTAGTAAGTCTCTCATCTTATCCCTCATGATTCGCTTGTAAAAGACATTCCCTATCTGTTTAAGAATCCTCCCTATGCAATAATCTTGTTGGAACAGCAATTAACTTTCATGTTTTCTTTGAATTTTAACATACTAGTGATTTTCATTGTCTAGCTATTCTCTGAAGTAGATGTGAAACTGGTATTCAAAGAAGTATCATCAAAATTCTTGCGGAGGCGTATTGTTGAGGTATGATGCTGTTTTCTTGACAGATTTGGAAATATTACTGCCAAATGAGTCAGAGTTTCTTGAGAGAGAACACAATACCATACATCACTGCCTTGTCTGCATGCTTTCTGTCACAAATTTAGTTAGACTTGCATGTTGAGCAGATTGTCTGTAAACAGGCACTTACCATTGAGCATTCTATGAAATAGCCACAAGTTGCACAAAAGAATTACGCTTTGTGCATTAACCATCTTCGCAGCTTTTCATCTTCTATTCCCTTTTACATTGTTAACCATCAATGCCCTGCCACTGGGAGTAATTCTTTGCAGAAGTTACATGATTGTTGAGTTTTGGGAAACAAAAGTAGATACTTTAAGTGCATCTTACTTTCTTTTTTATTTTTTCCAAATCCATAGGGTGGTAAAAGAAGTGATGGGCGGACTGTAGATGAGATTCGCCCGATTAGCTCAAGATGTGGACTTCTTCCAAGAGCGCATGGTAGTGCTCTATTCACACGTGGTGAAACACAGGTAACGGGGAATGTAGTCTTTGGGGGCATTCCTTTGCAACTATGTCATTTATAGATTCTCTGTTTTTTATTGTGTGAACTGTATCCTAAACCATTGGTGCATTCTCCTACTAAGGAATGTTATTTATATGATACTTACAGGCACTGGCAGTAGTTACTCTTGGTGATAAACTAATGGCACAGAGAATTGATAACCTTGAGGGTTCCGACGAATATAAGAGGTTCTACCTTCAGGTCTCTGCAAGACTGCAATATATATCCTTCCCTTGACTCTGTGATTATTTACTGGTTAGCTTACTCAGATAGGGTCGGAAATTTCACAAATATGTGGTTAATGGATGGACATTTACATTTCATGATAGTATTTTTATCCAGTTCATTATCTTAACCAAGTGGCTTAACCTCAGAAGTTGTTATGCAATTTATCAGTATTTTTAGTTTACAGATACTTTTACATGTGCACAAATCATGCAATATTGTGGTCCGAAGGTAGGACCTACCTAGGCATTGAGAAACTGTAGCCTGGCAGAAATTAGTATGATCCTAATTTTGAGTAAGTTTTAAGGTTTGTTTCTTTACTGAGGCTGGAGAGAGTTTATAACAAATCCTTTTAATGTTTCAGTACACATTTCCTCCATCATCTGTCGGTGAAGTCGGGCGAATTGGAGCACCGAGTAGAAGAGAAATAGGTCATGGAACACTAGCAGAGCGCGCACTAGAGCCCATATTACCTGATGACGATGATTTTCCTTATACAATACGTGTTGAAAGTACCATCACTGAGAGCAATGGTTCCTCAAGGTTGGCCTTTTTTTTTTTTCTTTTATGCTTTATAGATAATTAGGCATGTAACTCTCACCGCCATCTGCAATGACGTATGTTGCATAGAAATTTCAAATACAGGACCTGTTCTGTGGCTTGTATATGTATTCAATTTGTTTGGATTTTAGATTTAGTGGTCACTATGTAACATTGGTCTGAAAATTGTAACAGCATGGCATCTGTTTGTGGTGGTTGCTTGGCTTTGCGGGATGCTGGAGTTCCAGTCAAATGTTCAGTTGCTGGCATAGCAATGGGGATGGTTTTGGATACTGAAGAATTTGGCGGTGATGGAACCCCTCTTATCCTTTCTGACATTACCGGAGCTGAAGATGCATCTGGAGATATGGATTTTAAGGTTGTACCACTCGAAACTTTTCGTATCTTCTGAAGATAAAAATATTTTACATTTGTTACATTTTTTTGGAAAGTAAACGAAGAAATTTTCAACATCGTAGGGTTCTTGAGTTAACTTGAATTCTGAATGTTTTTTAATTGCTTTGTCTGTGATTATTTATAGGTTGCCGGGAATGCAGATGGTGTTACAGCTTTTCAGCTGGACATTAAGGTAGCTATGCACTTTTCTCATAGATCTTTTTCCCTGGATGCTTCTCTGTTTTATGGTTCTCAAATTCCTGGTGTGTTCCGACCAGGTTTATGTAGTCTTTAGATTCTTTCTAGTTGGTAGAATGATTTTACACAGCAACTGACAAAAGGTAACGGTAATTTTTCATTTTTTTTTCACTGATGGATTAGGTAGGGGGAATCACTTTACCAATAATGGAAAAAGCGCTCCTACAGGCTAGAGCTGGACGTCGACATATACTTGGTAAGAAGTTTTGGGATATTCCTGGACTAGATCAACATGGCTTATGTTGCAAGTGAATCTTAAACAGCCAAATGGTAATTTTGAGGAAACCGATTTCTGTCACCATAAAAATATGTGGACCAGATAAATATATTTCGGATTAATATGAGGAAAATCTAGCTCATCTTACACTTGAAAAACTTATAGTACTCCTTCATGCTGTTTGAAGATTATTTTTTCCTTTATTCTTTCTGTTTAGCTGAAATGTCAAAGTCTTCACCGTCTCCTTCAGAGAGCCTGTCAAAGTATGCTCCGTTGATTCATATCATGAAGGTTTGTCCTAAGCCTCATTTCCTCCAGCTAAAGAAAAATCCGGTCCAGTTCCTTACTGGCTAAACTAAAAGCTTTCTGGACTTTGAGAACCCTTGGGATGCTGTTGCAGGTCAATCCGGATAAAGTGAACTTTCTCATCGGTTCTGGTGGGAAGAAAGTGAAAAGCATCATTGAAGAATCTGGAGTTGAAGCCATTGATATGCAAGATGACGGGATTGTGAGATTATAAATATATATTTTGTATCTTGAATGTTTTAGGGAAGGATGCTCATCATTGTAATCTTTAACATTGTCTCGTTAAGGTTAAAATCACGGCAAAAGACTCTACAAGTCTTGAAAGGTCGAAGTCAATTATCAGTGGGCTGACGATGGTTCCTGCTGTTGGTGACGTCTACAGGTTTGTCTCGCTTTACAAATTTTCGTCTCGTTACTTGTATTCCTCAGGCAAAGATGCATATAGAGCTAAATTGGTTCACTAATTTAAAGATTCTTGAGACTAGAATGGATTATATTCTGTCATATCCTGCTCCTATGCCTAAGTCACTTTTTTTTCCTGCCGTTTTTTTACCTCTTCTTTCTTGTATTATCTTGTAGCTTATATGTGGATTTGACTCGTGACTTTCTCTTGTCAGGAATTGTGAAATCAAATCAATGGCTCATTATGGCGCCTTTGTAGAAATTGCGCCTGGGCGGGAGGTACATATTTCAACTCGTATTGCTCGGCGCATTTTCTTCTTCTCTGTCTGGGTGGTTTCCTCCACTCGGACTAATAATACACCTTTGATTCCTGAAAACCATAGTAATTTTGCTGCATTTCGTTTATAACTTGCCAAACAGCCATGCATCAAATGATATTAACCATCCAAATTTCCTCCCCTTTCATTATTTACCTCATTTAGACCTCAAAGCTGTATACACTGCGAAACATGCATGGTATGTTCAGAGTTTTCTTTTTATAGGGACTTTGCCATATCAGTGAGCTGAGTTATGAGTGGCTGGCAAAGCCTGAAGATGTGAGTAAAACTCATAACCCCTTCTTTATTTTAGTCAGTTTCATTTTTTTTCTTCTGGGGCTTCACTTACGCTGATCCCTGAAACTCTCGTTATTCTTGTCCTTCCAGGCCTTTAAAGTAGGAGATCGCATTGATGTCAAGCTTATAGAGGTGAATGAAAAAGGGCAGCTTCGACTTAGTGTTCGGGCACTTCTTCCCGAGCCAGAAAGAGATGAAGATGATCAGAAGCAACAGCAGAGTGATCCTACCAAAGAAAAGGGTTCACCGAGAAAATATGTAAATGCATCAAAGGACGAAGCTGCTGATGGGAAGACTGGACAAGTCAATGTAAAAATTACCGCAGCGGCAGCCAAAGTTACCGGATCCTCGAAAATCACTTCTGTGGAAAACCTTGTTCTGAAGAAGAAAGCTATCAGGAGATCAACTGGTGGTGTCAAAGAAGTGCTTTCAGGTAAAAAGGACAAGTCAAATAAAAGCAGCAATGGCACAGAAGCAACAGTTTCCAGCGAAGACAATAGCAATTTTGTCAATGGAGAAGCTACAATCAGTTAGTAAATGGCATCAATAATCTTGAGTAACCACGGTTAATTTCTCGTCTATTGTGAAGATGGATACAATGAAGGAGAATCTCGTCCAACAGTAACACAGGTGCGTTTATTTTAATCTTTCGATTTTAGATACCCACTCTCACACGCTAAAGCAATAATTTGCCTATGAGAAAACACATATAGATGGAAACATGTGGAACATCTTGCCATGTTTTTTTTTTTTAATTAGAATTCATTTTCCTGAATCTTATCTTCATCTAGCTCAAAATCACCAGCACAATCATGTGAAAAGACATGAAACATCTGTTCCCATGTACTTGCTAAACGTCCATCCATGAGATGATTTCAAGAAACCGTCCAACTTACTCGGTGTGAAAAGAAGAAACACCAGACCTTGAACACTTCTGCTGCTGTTGGTATCCGTAGTTTATTACAGTATGACGCAGTTTGGTCTGAGATTTGAAAGTTTGGGGGTTAATGGGTTGGCCTTCTGTTTGAACTAATAAAAAGCTAGGTCTCTGATTCGGCCATATGCAGACAATGCTGAGGTTTATTTGAACTATTCCTTCATTGGATAAGCTCTGAAGACAATATGCATTGGTTTTTCTTGGCAGTTGTAGCAGTCTGTTCAGACACATTTGGTCAGGTGGACATGCTTGCAGAAGCTGAAGCTGAAGATGAAGAAGAAGAAGAAGAAGAAGAAGAAGAAACCGTGGAAATATTGAACATAAACACCATTTCTTGAGGTGGATTTTTGCAAAGTAAAAAGGGTTCTGAACTTTGTACCATTTAGGCATTTTTAATCTTATCTTAGTGTCTCCCGCTTGTTCTGGTTCTGTTCTTGTCTTGTTCGTCACTGCACTTTCCTGAGTTTCTTGAAATCTATCAATGGAGAAAATCAGTAAAAGTACCAATTTGTCACAAGTTTCGCCTTTTTTGCTTGATCTCAATATATCAATATTCAATACTATAATCTATAATTTTCAATTTGTTTTTTTTTTCTCTCATTTTTTGCAGTTTTATCTGTTATCAATCTATGTCTAAATTAGCACTAGAGAAATCTTCTTCAAAAAATTCACAATTTTTCTAGAAATGCCCTTTATTTTATTTTTTTTTGGATCTAAAAAAGCCCACGAGTTTTTTTTTTTCGGAAAAGCGCGATGTATCAGAAAATATCTCAAGAGTATATATATATATATATTGATGTAGGAGTTTCTAGTTTCGTGGCCTCTCCGTTTAACGATTTAGTGCGGCGGAGCTACTTCGACGGCGCTGACCACCTCCTCCACAGCTTTCGTCTCCATTTTCTGTCGGACATTTCTTTTAGGTTTTTGGGAGTCTTTTCGCAGTCCCTTTGAATCTAAGACTCTTGCGTGCGCCTGATTCGCGTGCGGAATCGTAAGCGGAAGAGCTCGCTTTTTCTCGTCTTCTGGTAACGTGATGGTTTTTGCGGCTGTTATGGTTTTTGTCGAATCATTCTTCTTTGCTTGAGTGAGTTTCATGATTGTTTTTGGTGTTTGATTTTCGTTACTTGTAATTTTTCCGACAGAAGTCGGTTGGTGAAGGATGTTTAAGGTCTATCATGAAAAAAGATGTGATTTTTCGATGTTGTTTTCTTATGAGAGTGCGATTTCCTCGAGGGGAGAAACTCGATTGAATCTGCTCGCAACTTCACTAGGGTTCCCAGATCGTCTGGTTTTGCCATCTTCCTCGAAATTATTGGTTTTGATTATGTGGTGAAGTGTAGGTTTTTTGTGATCAAATTCTGTGTATGATGGTTCTACTTGTCAAAAGAAAGGATATTTACATGCTGGGCTTCTTTACATTGTTTGGTTGTTATATGTTGTGGGGATTTCATCAATCTTTGTTGTTCAATCTTGTGAACAGAGCTTGTTGTGACTGTAGTTTGTTTGCCCTTCCATTCTCATTTCTTGCTGTGAAATATTTATTCATTGATAGGAATATGACGATTTTAGCTGCTAGGGGATGATAAGTTTGGATATAATTCCTTTGGCTGCCTGATGAAAGCTAATTAATACAGCTTGAGACTTGGCTTTGTTACTGAAGGTTCTGATGTAATTGGCCGATCTTTGCTTGCAGATACAAAAATGTCGGTCACAGCAGGAGTCAGTGACACTGTAATTGCGATAAGGGAAAAGCTAAGGGGTAAAATTGGCCAGACAAAGGTGAAAAGATATTGGCCTGGGAAAGCTCCCGAGTGGGCTGATGAAGCTGACGATGATGAGGATGTTAGGATGCAGAGGACTGCTGCTGTGGAGAGAGCTTTCCCGAAGCTCGAGGATTCAAAGGTTGCTAGGAAGGATGATCCAAGGCTGCGTCGTCTAGCAGAGAGCAGAATAGAAAATCGTGAAGAGCTTAGAGCTGATCATCGGCGAATCAGGCAGGCTGAGATTATTTCTACAGAAGAAGAGGAGTTTGGTAAACAAGAGACAAGAGATGAGGAAGATGATGAAGATGCATTGGAAGAAAGAAGGAGAAGAATCAGAGAAAAGAATCTCAAGAGAGCACAAGAAGAAGCTGCTCTACTTCCCGTGGAAGAAGAGGAAGAAGAAGAAGAGGATGAAGAAGAGGAAGAAGAGTCAGAGTATGAGACTGATTCAGAAGAAGAGATGCCAGGCATGGCCATGGTAAAGCCTGTCTTTGTTCCAAAAGCTGAGAGAGATACAATAGCTGAACGTGAACGGCTTGAGGCTGAAGAACGAGCCCTTGAGGAACTAGCCAAGAGAAAGTTGGAGATAAGAAAGAAAGAGACAAAACAAATAGTGGTTGAGGAAGTAAGGAAGGATGAAGAGATTCAGAAGAACATGGAAATGGATGAAGCAAATATCGCTGATGTGGATACTGATGATGAAATGAATGAAGCAGAGGAGTATGAAGTTTGGAAGACCAGAGAGATTGCCAGAATCAAGAGAGAAAGAGATGCACGGGAAGCCATGGTAAAGGAGAGGGAAGAAATAGAAAAGTTAAGGAACATGACAGAGCAAGAAAGAAGAGAGTGGGAGAGGAAGAATCCAAAACCAGCAGGTCCACAAAAGCAGAAATGGAAATTCATGCAGAAATACTACCACAAGGGTGCATTCTTCCAATCAGATGTTGATGACGTGGCTGCATCGGTTGGAACAGATGATATTTTCCAGCGTGACTTTTCTGCTCCAACCGGAGAAGATAGGTTGGACAGGTCGATACTGCCTAAAGTCATGCAGGTCAAGCACTTTGGTCGCAGTGGGAGAACTAAATGGACACACCTTGTCAATGAAGACACAACAGATTGGAATAGCCCGTAAGTACATTCTTTCTCCTCTTCGAATTGCCTATTAGTCAGTCATTTGGCACATTAGTTTTGATCCCTGGTCCGAGAGTATATCAAATTCATGCTCCTGAATTATTACTGATATAGCACTTCAATTGAACCTGAAGCTAAGTTGAATGAAACCCCTCTCTGTCGAATTTACTTCATGTTGTGGATTGGATAGTGCACTGTCACGTAAAATTTGACAAACAGTTTCTCAGCTTCTCAGTTTAATGGGATTGCAAATTTTGTAACTTTGACTCGAAGGTCTCTGATATGTAATGTTGGTAATATCTGTGTCATCTGCAGGTGGACTTCGAATGACCCTCTACGCGATAAATACAATTCAAAAATGGCAGGGATGAATGCTCCTATATCTAAACCAAAAGGAAGCAAGAAAATGAAGGATTGGCAGACCTGACTTCTGTGGTACCCTACCTTTCGTAACATCTACTCTGCATCATGTTATTTGTAGGATATGGTTTTCTTGTACTGTATCTTCTACCTTCTACGTAGTCTTAGAGGAAAGCAATAAAGACAGCTGCAGGAAATCATGGATGGGATAGTTGCTGAGGACATGCCAAGTGGTGAAAAGTGGTTCTTGATCTTTCTTGCTTTGCAGATCCTTGAAGTTTTGAGTAAATCCCCTGTAGTGAGAGTGACTTCTCAGCTCGGAGTTGGAAGTTGGAACATCCGAGTTTTTAGGATTTGGGAGCTGAATAGATTTCATTATCAATGTCTGACTCTGTGTAAATGATCCTTGTATCCCATCACAGGTAGCATATCCTGTCTCTGTGCCTGATATCTGTTTGATTTATTATATTATCAAACCGAGGTGTATGATTTCTTCTTCAGGATCGAATCCAGAATCATTTTATGTTTCATCTGCTAAAAGAAGCACTGTTTATTCCAATTAGGTATAATTTGTTAATGACAAATAGAGCCCAGCTTTTTATTTTGCAAGTTACAAAAGCTGGATTACATATTTGCATCTTCTTTGACATCATCACTTGAACAATACACTACAATGTACAGATATGTCTATGTACTCCCCGAACCCGAAAGTATTGTGCTTGTGTACTTGTGCCAATTTGACCTTTGGTCTTCTAGATGTTGACATGAACAACAAAGCTTTGGACATCTCAAGCCCGATGATCAGTTGTCTCTGTAGATAGAGATGTTTCCCACATAAGACACTGGAACATAAACTGCACTGCTCAATAAGCTATGTTTCCTGCCATAAAACAGATAGATCATGGCTCCAATAAGCAGCCATATCAAGACCCTGATCCATGTTCCAGCCCTGAAATTACAGACCTCGACCATTAGACAGGTACCGGTATTATGCTTACAGACAGTTATGGTTCATTGATTTACTCACCCGACATTGATAATGAGGTAAGTATTGATCAGAATGCACAGAACCGGTAGGTACGGGACAAACGGGCAGAGAAATCCTGGAAACAGTACCGTCGAATTTAGAATAAGCACACAACCAAACATGGGGTATGAAGCAAGAGTTAATCTAAACTAAGCAATTGCTGACAGAATCTCCAACTCTTGTCAGTCAACTGCCAAATCGCCAAATGGATCAAGAACATAAACTCTGTTGCTAAACCAATATAGGCCTGCAGAAAATTTCAGATTTGAAGTTTATTTTTGGCACTAATGGATCAGAGGACGGAGCATTATATTAGCCATTAAAACTCGAAGATCTTTTGCAAGATTTACTTAAGCTCTGTTAGATTCTTTTCACTTTCTTAAGGCAGGAGGATATGCCCGGGTATATTACCTCCAGTGTGCCCGAAGTTATGCCTTGCATCGTCCTCATCTATGTAGACAAGAATGATCAAACTGCAAAGCAAGATGGCTGCACCGACAGCACATATTGTGAACCGAGGGAAACTGCCAAGATCAAGGCAGATGTACAGTTAGAGCAACACGGAAAAACTGTTAAACACCGCGATAAGATCAAGAAGTAAACTAAGGACGCTTGCTAAAAGAAACAAGAAAATCTAAACAGACAGCATATGGAACTGGGCAAACCTGGGAAGACGCTCAGCGGAAGCTGCTGAAGTAAGGCCAAGTACACCTATACACACAAGAGCTATACTCCAGGTGGCAATTTTACGTCTTTTCTCCTTATTCTTTTCATCTGTTTGATCACAAAATAAACATGAAAAACCCATAAAAACAGATGAAAACCAAGGCCATGAAGATTGGGTCCTTCTCAGCAAGTATTCATTCTCTCTGGTCAGAATAGTCTTATCGAACTCTTATACTTTAGTACCTGGAGCTGTTTTGTCCTCAAGTAAAGGAGACTCAGAGGATTCTACACCATCATCCGCAAGGAAATCTTGGTTTTCAACTCTACAATCATCGGAATCGATACTATATTGGGAGGAAGATAGTAGAGGAACCTCATCTGGTGGAACATATCTGAGTACTAATACACAGACTGCTACAGCAGTGAACGCCATCAGAGTTCCCACACTAACCTATTCCAAGAATACAGACGTTAGCTACCTGGAAAAGTACCTACAAATATAGGCCTCAATATTTCCAAGGCAAGTATCAATCCATTTCTGATTCAACATAAAATTAGAAAGCCCTGACTGCAATTTATTTCTTATGTGGGAATCGGATAACGTCCCTGGGTTTCATTCTTTCATGAAAAGATGATGGGATGGAGATTGTTCTAGGCAAAGACAGACCAACTTACCATCTCAGACAACTGTGAAACATCCATTAAAAATGCTAAAGCAGCGGCCAGGGCACCAATTGTTATTGTGCTTTTTACTGGAACTTGAGTGCGTGGGCTAATTTCTGAAAAGAAAGCTGGCAACAATCCATCCCTAGACATTGCCATGAAGATTCGTGGCTAATCAAAAAAGCAAAAAAAAAAAAAAAATCATACTGTCAACATGACCTTCGTGAGTTACCTGAGCCCAATCCAAGAAAACCAATTGTGCAGTTACCTTTCCTAGACCATAACAAAACACAAATACAAAAGGTTGCAGTAGAAGATTTAACAACAAAATTCAACGAACTTCTTGCCTACTTTATCATTATCTGGTTGTGAATAAAACTCTTTTCATTCAGAAGGCAAGGTATTGTTGGAAGAAAAACTGAGAACTGACTCCCACGCGGAAAAGTTACTAGTAAAAGGAAATAGTCAAGGTTCTGCAGATCAATCCAGCTATAAAAGTTTCGTATTTTGATAGGAATGGAGCTCAGATTCCACAGATATGAACTCGGTACTCTTGAAAAAGTCTACTAAGCTTGGGATTTCAAAACAATTAGCACCAGTTTCTACCTGAGCAAGAAGCGAACCCAACAAACTTGCACACAAAGCAGTTATTGCCCCAGTGGTTAAGATATACCTGAGATAAATCATAAATGTGAAGATTGAGAAGAAAAGAAGAGAGTACTGAGATATTAATTTATTCTGCAGTAACATAAACAAGGCAATGGCTTGAGCGCTTACGCTGCCCACTGCATTCCACTGTCTCCAAATGCAGAAGAGATAGGAGTATCGGGATTCAATGCATAGTATGGGACTAATCCAACAATAACAACTGATAAGAGCATATACAGCACACAGCATATCAGCAGCGCAATCCCAATTCCCAGTGGAAGATCCCTTTGAGGATTTTTCACCTGTTTGGTGAAACAAAAATGTTAGAATCCAGAGAAAAAAGAATGAAAATTTGCCCCAAAAAAAAAAGAAAGAAAGAGAGAAACAAGAATATTCTTCTATTACTAGTTGCAGTTGACAAATCATGGAAGACACGCGATTAAGTTAGATAGTGTCTAACCATGAAGAAAAACTAAAAGACCTTCATAACTACAAAAATGTGACAAACCATGTACCTCTTCTGCGGTACTGGTTACTGTATCAAATCCAATATATGAAAAGAATACTACTGCAGATCCTGCAAGAATCCCGTTTAATCCAAAAGGAAAGTACCTGTAATTCAAGACTTAGCCATCAATCACAAAAAATAATTATGAGAGAAAAGACTTACCTAATGGGAAAAAGAGTAGACTAATTACCCGTTTGGAAGGTCATATCCAACCCACCCAGTCTTGAATGCTAAATATCCACCGACCATTATGATGAAAACCAAGGTGCAAACATTCACAGATGTTATAATTGCTTGTGCTAATGAACTCTGAGGGTACAAAATTGTGGAACAGCAGAGTTAGATGATCAGACAGGCTGGACGAATTTCAACTAAGAATGTTCAGTGAAGTACCTCCTTTATTCCAAAGCAGAGTAGTATTGTGACAACAATGATCAGGGATGCTGCACATGGATCAACCACAATACCAAGTCCAGGTATTGTTTGTCGTGCTAAGAACACAGGAAGATTGTCCAAACCTCCAAAAAAAGATGCCTGGAAGGAGAGAAATTGGTCAGTATCAAATTGAAAGAACGGAAGAGCTAAAAAGGAAACGTAAAAATGAATGCATAGTAATATTTAAAGGAAATTACTGAATATGCTCTACCAGATTTGGAGTTATGCCACGAGCAATGGCTGATCCACCGATGGTATAGTCCAGCACCAGTGCCCAGCCAACCAACCAAGCAACCCTAGAACCAAAGTTAGAAAAAGGAGTAACAACTTAAATAAGAGATACATTTCCAACAACTCCAAACGGAAATGCTTCACTAGTTTTCGCTTTATTACAGCATTGATCCCGACCCTCCCAAGATAACTGGGAAAAGAAAGTCAGGTAAACCCTTAGCTACCAGCTTCATACAGTAAAAGTTGATTATTAATTTCAAATGCTAAATTGAATAGCAAGAATTGCTGAATTAGAGCAGAAGCCCATTCTTCACCCAAAGGTTGGACATTAAAAAATCATGACAAGGATTAATCTAGGAAGGATTCCAATGTAACACTAAAAGGGATATATGCTTGATGGTGAAGAAAAAACTAATATATTTCAACAAAGATTTCTATTCACCGTACCCCTCTCCTAGGCATACATATGCATAATGATAAGCACTCCCAGCGGATGGACAGCGAGAAGCAAGCTCAGCATAACAACATGCAGAAAGAGCCGCTGCTATTCCAGCAATAAAAAATGATACAGCAAGAGCAGGTCCAGTGTGTTCTCTGGCAACTGTTCCGACAAGAATATACACGCCAGCTCCTATGGTCGTTCCCACTCCTAAGAAAAAGGCCAAAAACAGTTTACCTCTATGTAAGAGAATGGTTTCCTTGAGAAGTTAAACATTAGACAACCCAAAAACAACAAATTTTTGCGTTCTTCCACAGGAGTAACTGGCATAGAATTCTAAAATAATTAGTCCCTAGGAACGCCAGGGACTGGATATAGCATCATTCAGTACAGGCACCGATGCACATCAATAACACAATTTCCTGTCCTAAAGGGAAAAAGACTGTCTTTGGTGGAACTCACCAGATACATTTTGAGTCATAAAATCTGAAAGATGAATATACAGACAACACTAACAGGTGAGTCATGAATATAAAAACTTAGCAAGTGCTAAACTTCCACAAGCTTGGCTAACTGATGAGACAGTGTGATCAAGCCATCAACCATAAAACGAACATCTAAAAGTTTTTGGACAAAAGTCTTCAAATTTAAGCTCGTGGATGTACCTGCTGATAAATAAGCCGATAAAGGGAAAAAAAACTACGAGAACGGTCCCAGATTATCTAGGAAATTTGAATTCCCAATGCAGATTTAGCAACCAAACTGCAGAAAACGAAAAGGCCCAGAATCGTAAAATCTAAACAATGCTTGAGAAACCAGCAAGACAAGGAAGACTTTCTCAACAAAAAAAAATCCAAGTTGTTTTCTCTCTCGGTTCCCTACATACCAATAGCAACAAGATCAATGGCGGATAATTTCTTCGCAAGCTGATTCCCATCATTTTTCCTCAGATGAACAGAATCGACCTGTTTCCTTCTGACCATACTCCTCAATCCCCATGACCATTTCGTTGAACAACCTTCCCCGTTCATATCAATCCCGCACTGCACAAAATTCCGAGACCCCTTTGCCTTTCAATCGATTTAGAGCGAACCCATCTGAGCTTTCCTCAGGAATTCCAACAAAGATGAACGCTTTTCTTCAAGAATCTAAACTATTACGGGAATCCGAGTAGG